TTACTCAATATCAAACTAATACAAGTTTATTAAACACTTATAATAATTCGTTTATGGAATGGAATACAGGTTTTACTCAATATCAAACTAATACAAGTTTATTAAACACTTATAATAATTCGATTATAGAATTGTCTACAGGTGTTACTCAAAATGATGAGAATCAAATTGATTGTAATTCATCTTTAGAATGGACAGCTTGCTTTACTCAAGATCAGACTAATACAAGTTTACTAAATATTTATAATGCTCAACATTGTGAGGAGCAAATTAATACTTTACAACATGATATAAAATCAGTTAAAAAGAATGAACATCCAGTTTCACTTGTCTCTAGGCGTAAAAGAAAAATAAATCCAAAATGCAAGAAATGTAATTTAAGAAAACATTACTACGATATAAATCTCAATCTATGTAAGGATTGTTATGGGGCCTCAATACGAATTTTAAGTGGTAATAAATTAATAGACGATTTTATCGAATCAACGCAAACTTTTTATAAAAACTGTAGAAATAGATCAAAATTAGAATTTATTCCATATAAACAATTTACTAATATCGAATACCTTGCTAAAGGAGGGATTAGTGTAATATATAAAGCAAAATGGGTTGATGGTCCTATTACACAATAGCGTCTTAAGGAGCAAAATACAAACGAAGTAAAAATTATGAAGTTGTTCTTAAAATTCTGAATAATTCTGAAAAAATGAATGCTGATTATTTAAATGAGGTCTATATATATTTCTATAATAATATTTGTATAATTGATTTAATTTAATTTAAAAGTTAAAACTTAATACTGTATTATTTTATGGTTATTTTAGCTAAAAAACTTTTTTCACTGTAAAAAAAGTGATAACAATACTTTAAATAGTGGACTTCATCAATATCTCGGCATCACGCAACACCCTGAAACAAAAAATTATATAATAGTCATAGAATTTGCGCAGAATAGAGACCTACATTATTTTTTAAATAAAAGTACTTTACCCTGGCTAGGAAAATTACAACTATTACATAGAATTTCAATAGGACTTAATTTAGTGCACAAAAATAAAATTATTCATCGTGATCTTTATAGTGGCAATATTCTTATTAACTGCTATTACGATAAATCAATGATTGCAGATTTAGGAATAAGCAAACCAATAAATGAATTATCAGATAAGAATGCAATCTATGGTGTTATTCCGTATGTTGCACCAAAGGTGTTAAAAGGAGGAAAGTTTACACAAGCTTCAGATATTTATAGTTTTGGTATGATTATTTGGGAGGTAATAAGTGGCTGTAGGCCATTTTCTGATCGTAAACATGATGAATATCTTATTCTGGATATTCTTAATGGTCTCCGCCCAAAAATTCCATCTAACATTCCTTAAGATTTAATTGAATTAATGGAAACATGTTGGCATCAGGATCTTGAAAAAAGAAAATTCGCAAACCTAGAAAAAAGAAAACTTACAATTCAAGAAAAAGCAAGTTTAGACTGGTATAAACTAAATGAATTGAAAGCGGAATTGAAAGTGGAACAGAGAAATGATGGTCTGGCTAATGCGTTAAATAAACTTATTAAAAAAGCAGATAAAGGTGAAATAAAATTTCCAGAAAATATAGATACAAGTATTTTGCCAACTAAAATAAATGATCAAGCAATTTACTCTAGTCGACCATTAACTCAATTGATTAGTAAAGCATTGACTTTACAAAGTATGCGATTAGATAGTAATGTAATTACAGGTGAGAGAATATATTGTATTGAATTGCATATTTCTTATTTTAAGCATAAACTAATATAATTTATGTTTATAACAATTAATTATATTAGATATTCAAATGGTAATAATGTAGCAACTAAGCAATAATCAGACAGAAGACTCTAAAACAATTTATTTTGATATAAGCAAATGGCAAATAGAAATTTGGCCATATTGACAAAAAGTTTCAGCAAGAAATCCAGTTCTTAAATTTGTATAATTTTATTCAAAACTTTTGAATTCAGGATTATTCATTCTTTAAAATCTTTTTTTAAGCTTTATTTTTATCTAAAATAAATCAAATATTGATATATATACAGTCTTCCTCCTCTATAATCACCTCCTATATAATCACAACTCCCATACAATCACATTGATTTTTGAGACAATTTATTAAAAAACTTATAAAAAAAAACTTTTATATAATCACACTCTTTTATAATCACCAATTTTCTTGATACAAACTGCGTGATTATAGAGGAGGAAGACTGTATATATATATATTCATAACTTGTCACTATATTTTCTGTATCCATAAACCGTCTGATGTACAAATTTGAACGCTTAAATTTTTAAAAATATATATTTTTTGTGTATACTTTAAATTTTATTAAGCCACACCCCATTATTTCTTAATCTAAAATAAAACGACCCACACGTTGGTTGCTATATAGTTCTTATCTCGTGAAACCTCCTTAATAACACTGCAAAATCATATGCGGGTTTCTTTAATAATACAATATTAATGTTGGTCAAATATCTTTCATAACCAACTTCACAAAGCTGATTTTGGGGCAACGTTATGTAGATAGAGTTGAAAATTACATTTTACAAACTTACATTACATGTAAGTTTCACATTACGGCGAATTTATGAAATACTCCAAAATTTGAAAATTTTGACCACTAAGTAACGGTCCGATCAGCATCACCGCAGATTTTTGCTCCATGACTATGCTACTCCGTACATTACAGTAGAGTTGGTCACCGAAACCTTTTTTGCCAAATCCGAAAGTTTCGGGTTTCGGATTATAGTTTCCGAAACCTCA